GTTCCTGGGGGAGTTCACATTTGTAACAGCATCCTTGTCAGACTTAATCAGGTCTTGTACCAGTTATTCACCCATATTTTGGTTGTGTAGTCTATAAAATTCACTTGTAAGTTATCTAAAAGACATCTCTGCTTGTACAACATGATATCTTGGGTCCTGATGCACAAAGCAGACATGGAGATTGACCCGAGTGGTTCTTCAAGCAGATGCTCTGTCACTCAAACACACACATAATACCCTGGTGATCCAAGTATAATAAAAAGCCTTTTGGAAACTGCTCTGTGCAGACAGTGTGATGGTTGGTAGGTGACAGGAGTTATTACTTCTCTGCTGTGAGACATGTATAACATTTAAAGTGAATTTTACAGCAGAGGCTTTATCAGAGGAAGAAATGGGGTTTTCTGAGGTGCCTCACTGCTGGCATGAAATAGGGAATTACATTAAGATCTTATCCCTTTATTTCCTATATATATGGGCTAATGTTCAGGCACAGTTCTGAGTAGATGGGTGGATAACTTATTTGGCTAAGAAAAGGTTTAGAAGGTTTCCCAGCCTTCACAAGTAGCCTTTTTTTCCCAGTTGTTACTGACAACATCTCAGCTCATGAAGAGAAATATTCCTGTTTTTAATTCCCCTCTCCTTTAAGGTTATACTAAAGCAAACTAAAATGCAATAAACTTAAGCTGAAGCAGCTATTTTACAAATATTTCATAGAAAGATTGAGGTGGAAACCTTAGAGACAGCATTTTGGATTGTGGTAAAGTGACAGAATACCACAAAAAGACAACAATTCACACAGATTACATAAAAAAAGGCAAAGTGTGTGATTAAAACACATGCTTTACATTTAAATGTTCATATAATGCTTTTAAATACTTAATCTATTCATAACTCTATGAATGAAGCTGATATTAGACATACCAAATAGACACCACCCATTGCATAGATAGTATTTTGCCTATTAGAATATTGAAGGTTACTTTTGGCTACAGAAAATCATATGCTGGAAGTGAGGCTGATAGGAAAATAAGATTTTTGTTTTCTATACCCAGCTTATTCACTGGCTATTAGTCAGCATGGGCTGTGGACCACTGGTGTAGAACACTTGAAGGCCACATCACTATTTGGCAATGTAAAATTATTTATTTTATTTAATTGAGTGCCATTTTTATGTCCAGTTCTGCTGGAAAATCTCAGTTTACATAATAGATATCTATGGATATTCTTGGAAAAATTAAGGAGTCACAGCCCAACATCTTCCTCAGTATAGGTAAAGATGGCAGAATTTAGCTGAAAATATTCACAAGCTCTGGGAGAAGTTGATCTGGAATGATTTTGCTCTGTCTCAAGGCAATATTGTTAATTCCTTTATCCCAATGAGGTAGTTTTCTGATGTTGATGTCAACAGAGCAGAGAGCCTCTGAAGTTCATGGGGGGCCAGTTCCTTCTCAACTGGTAGGTGAAATTATTGAGTTTGCTGTCTGCAGACTTCGTTTTCATACTGAGGAATGACTATGGTTGCAAAGCATCAGTGCAAAGGAGTTCAATTTTAGTTTGATTCAGAAAATTTACCTTTTTGAGAGAACGTTTCTGTTGTGACTTCTCTCCTCCTACTTTCATTCTCTCCCACCATCCTCCAGATCTACACAGTAAAGGCAATTGGATGATTTCTGTGTTCCCTTTTGTATTATTATTTTGACAACCCAGACAGGAACATAAAATTTTTGTTCAGTGAGGGGGGGGGAAAAAAAGATAGACTAGAGTAAGTGTTTTGTGGGTATTTCACACTGTTCATTAAAAACTGTGATGGCAACAGCACTGGGGAACGATGGGGGAAGGGGAAGAAGAATTCATCTCTTGAAAAGTGTGAAGAATTGGCAGCTGTAGAGAATGGAAGTGATTTCCATCCTGCTCTCCTGATACAGCCCCTGCAGGGTGACTCAGATGATTCAGGCTCTTTTGGCAACAATTGGGTGATTTAGAACCCCACGTATTGTGCATGTACGAGTGAGTGAGGATAGGAAGGGGAGGGAGACTGGGGACACACATGCATAGTAAATACAACTTCTGTCATCTTTGCAGTCTTAAAATACTGCTCATACAATTAAAATTAGGTTTTTTTCCACTTGCAAAACCAGTGGCCAGTCAGCTAGTGCAATGAACAGTGCAATTCATGCAGCTCTCTTCCCTCCTATTTCTGTTTGATTGTCTTTCAAGAGCAGAAAGAATAACTCTGAGATGCTGCCCAACCTCACGTGTGATCTGAGAGACAGAATATCCAAATTAGAGACAATATCTGGGCTCCTGTTCCTCACAAAGAGAAATAAGGGTTCCTCCTGATGTCCTGAAAGAAAAAGCACATGCTGTGCTCTTTTAGTTTCCCAAAGTTCTCCATGCACAACCTTCCTTTTAAACTCCGAGTTCATTTATTGTCACAAATGCAGTTTTTGTCTGGTTGGTTTGTTTTTTATTATGTGATATTCTACCCAGCATATTGTCTAATAGCCAGGACAATGACTCTTTCATATATAGAGTGCCTCAAGTTCTGCTGATGGGAAAAAAGATATTTAGATGCATACAGTTATTTACTGTAGGCACATGGTTGCCATGATACATTCATTATCCAATTTATCTGAGATCTTTCTGACTAAGAAAGAGAGAAAACCAAAATAAATGGAAAAACATGGGGCTCTTCATTCTTTGAGATCAGTCTGCCAGACTTCTCTTAGCAGCTATTATTTTTCAAAGGTTTTCATCATCTTCCAAAGTGACTGAAAACATAAATCCACTTCAGTTATTTTTATGCATTGTATGGGTACAACAGATATAAAGGATCATAATATGAAGCAGAAAAGGCAAATTTAAGAAATCAAAAATTTATATTGTGTGTTTTGTGTGTTTTTGGTAGCCTGACTTAAATTGATAAAATACCTTTTCATAAAAATTATCCTTTTGTCTTCTAAAGTTCTGATTATTTTTTTAAAAAATCACTGGACTTCCTCCTGTTTCTCAAATAACTTCAGTAGTTGTGTTTTCTTGTATTTTCTAATTTTTATATCTTTCTCAATCTTGTAATTCAGTTCATATTGGGAGCTGTACTTCTCATTAATTGACAACACAATAAAGTGAAAACTCCATTTACTGTTGTCACAGCCCCTCTGTTTTCCTTGAAATGTCATCCAAGAGATTTATTTCATTGACTTGAAACTTGAGAGAGTGCATGTCTTGAAGGAGCAAGAATTCTGCTCTAGAAAACTTTATTTAATGGAAAATCCAGAGGATTTTCCCTCTCTCTGGCCATTTAACACATTATCACATCCACCTTCAATCTTCCCTTAATTTCCATGGAAAATGGAGGAAAATGGGAACAGCCTATTAAAAATCTTGATGTAGACTGCAGGCAAGGTTGTTATGACAAGAATTCAAGTGCAACTTTGAGCCAAAGCTGAGGATTTGTGCATCAGAGCAGGAAGATGATGTATACAAACTAAAATTGGATCCATAAAACTTCCAGAGATCCATAGAGTCAGATCTATTCTCTAAAGAGAACACTGGGTTCCTGCTGGGTCTACAGTGTTAGGGATCAGGCCAAAGTTGCAAATAAACTAAGAGAAAAGTTTTGTGATTCTGGAACTCCTACACTGAAATGAAGTATAAAATTTAAACTGCTATTGGTGTTAATAAAATTATAACTGATGAGGTGAAATGTGCTGAAATCAAACCAAACTCTCAGCTAGGATGCTCTTTTCAAGTGTCACTTTTTGAATTTCCACTGCTTAACAATTTAATCTGGGTTTCCTTTTCTTAATAAAAACAGCTCTAGGAAGAAGGAAAATAATTGGCTGACTCTATTCCTTCTCAGCCTGTGATAAAGGAAAGGGAGTTACTAAGACTTTCAGATGCTCTGAATGCAAAAAGGAAATTTTCCTTATATAACAACCTCTATAGCAGGTATCTATCCAGTAAATAATGTACTTCAAAATAGACAGCTGGAAAATAAAATGGGAAACGTTTCTCTGTACTCAGGTGGTGTTCCTCATCTCTGTAGCCTGGTGTCCAAACTTTTTTTGTATGCTCACACTTTTCTGTGTCCAAAAGGCTACTTTAATTCTTAACAAAGTCCCTTACTCAGAAAAGAATAAGCAAAAGAAACTAAAATCAACATGTTTGTGTCACTCTTCTGTTTAAATGATTATTATAATTGTAAGAATCCTGCAGCCCTGACTGCACAGCATCAGGTGACAGCATCTTTTGTGTTCCTTTGTGCTCCCAAAAGTAGTCGTTGGTCCTCACTGTTGTAGCTTTATCCCCTCCTCTGCAGCTGTTGGTGTTCAGGAGCCCTGATGTGTGTTTGAATGCTGAGGACTGGAGCAGGTTTTATTTGAAGGGAAGCAGCACCATCTATTGCAACCTGAAAGCTTAGCTCTGGGTGATGGAACAGAGCTGGCCTGAGCCCAGCTCTGAACTCTTGCTTGCAGGCACTTTGAGAAGGTTTTCCCACAGCAGTTCCAAATAAAATTAAGATCTGGGTTAAGGCACAAGGGGGTGTGGTCTGTGTGTGCACGTGTCTGCTGGAAAGGTGCATCTCAGAGTCATGTATGTGTATGAACTGAGACACAACAGGAGCATCAGCCTGCTCCTGACTGTTTGCTTTTAAATGATTTGGCTGGAGCTTTCATTCCTGAAGCAGGAGAATAATCAAAAGCTAAGAGTATGTTTTACCCAGGTGATATTCTCTCAAAATTTCCTTTCAGAAGCAACATTACTGTAGGTGTGGAGCACAGTGTGTTCCTCTCATAATGCCAGTGCTGTTGTCAGCCATCTATACTTCTGGTTCTTCTTCTGTTTTGTTTTGTTTTCTCTTTTCCAGACTGTCTACAAAGCCTGGCTCTGTTCCCAGTATTTTGAAGTCACACAGTTTCACTGCAGCAACAGAATTCCTTGCAAGCAATACTGTTTGGAGGTTCAAACGAGGTGTCCCTTTATATTACCAGACAACGATGATGTCATCTATGGAGGACTATCAAGTTTCATCTGTACAGGTATAGTGCAAAAAAGCTAATTCCACTTTTTTTTTCATAAATCTGAACGTGAAAAGAGAATCATGTGGGCAATGTTTCCATTAGCTCTAACTACGAGAGCTTTGTGGTTCTTCTTCTGTTTTGTTTTGTTTTCTCTTTTCCAGACTGTCTACAAAGCCTGGCTCTGTTCCCAGTATTTTGAAGTCACACAGTTTCACTGCAGCAACAGAATTCCTTGCAAGCAATACTGTTTGGAGGTTCAAACGAGGTGTCCCTTTATATTACCAGACAACGATGATGTCATCTATGGAGGACTATCAAGTTTCATCTGTACAGGTATAGTGCAAAAAGCTAATTCCACTTTTTTTTCATAAATCTGAATGTGAAAAGAGAATCATGTGGGCAACGTTTCCATTAGCTCTAACTACAAGAGCTTTGTAGGTATTCTTCATCACAAAAATCTGCCAGAGGTACCAGCATTTGAGCCAGATTTAATAATGCACATTTATGCTACAGCTCTCCACAGCCATTAATTATACAAACCAAAATTTATCCCAGTTATTTTTCACACTTATACTTTGGTAGAGGTCTTTAGTTGCTCCATGTCAAGCAGTACTCAGAGGAAGAGGCTCTTATTGCAATCTTCAGAAAAACAAAAAGCCAAGTTCAGTTTTTAGTATCTTCCCCTTTGTTCGCCTAAATTCTTCTGTCAGATAAATGAGGAATATGAGACAAAACTGTGCAGCAGCTCTTGAAATGTCTTTTTAGAGCCAAAGACATTAAAATGGCTTTTAATATGATTCATATATTGAATAAAATATCTTTAGCACATCTCAGGTGCTTCAGATACTTCTTTCAGGACTGTCTGGGAGTCCCTACAGAAAATTTCATCTCGTATCAATTTTATCTGCAGATTTCTGGTGCCTGGAGTATCATCCAATTACCTTGAAGATGTTTAGGCAACTTATTCCCACTGGATCAGTAAAAAGACATTTTAACACTTAGATCATTTGACAGCCTAGTCTAAATATCTGAAATTAGAAAGCCTGAACCTTAAATTTTAGGGCTGCTTGATGCTAAAGGAGTTGCCCAAGGCAAGCTACTTAAAAACTTAAATTCCTATTTTTCCTAGTGTATCTCCAAGCCTAAATTCCTATCTGAAACACACAAAATAGGTGACTTTGAAAAGTTTACTGATGGTTGTCTATGACTTTGGGATGAAAAGCAGATCTAAGAGAGGATGAAACTCATTTTACTGCTGTTACCAAGGTCCTATTGCAGACACTTAAAATCAGCATGACCTGAATCTCCTCTCAACAGCCCACTAAATAATATTTAGTTGAACTTTTTTGTCCTATAAAGTCAAAATCCTCAGCAGAGTAGGGCTGGGATTCCCAGACCCACAGGAGCCACTAGGCAGTTGTGTGCAAGAGAAGATGCTGAGGTACAAGGGTGCAACTCAGGCTTTGTCTAGAATATAAACCCATTGTCACCCTCTTATTAATCAGCAGCAAACTGTAAGAGGACTTCCTGCCACTAAACAATGAGAAATGAGATTAATATCTGCTGTGGGACTAAAGAATTACACTTGCTGCAGCTTAATGAAAGCAGAACCAAAGGAGTCAAATCAAAGCTATTTTTTGTGATGGGAAAAGAGCATAGGACTGGCTATTTTTCCCCCATGAATTTTGCAGTCATTGTTCTTTCACACAAATTAAAACAAACAAATGATTGTAGTTTATAATTTGGATTAACAATGACTTCTGGGAAGCTCCTAAAGAACTGATGTAAAGAGTGAGAAGTATTCTAGCCTGAGAACGTCTCATGTGGTTCCCTCCAATGAAAGCAGAGAAAAGAAGAGGGGATGTTACACTAGTTGGGTACCCCTGGAACTTTGGTTTTGTAGAAACACACGTGAGGATGTGGGACCACTGCAGTGCAAGAGCAAGTTCTTGGGAGGGTAATCCAAACCACCAGAATCACAGTGTGGTTCTGATTATGGAAACAGGCAGTTAGCTGGGAAGAATTTTGTGTTCCCCTCTCCCCTTTCTCTTCTAAGAAACAGAAGGAAAGAAGTCTCTGTCCATCAAGTCTTCTGGATACTTTGTATAGCCATTAAAATTGAATGGACTCAATTTTTATAGTCAATTTCTGATAGTTTTATAGTCATGAAAATTGAATGGTCGCTCCTGGTTTAGACCTTTTGAGGTTTATTCCCAGCTGATTAAAGTTTCCAGTTGTTTTCTCTAATGTTTCTTTCTGCAGCTCAGATGTCTAGAATTGCCCATGCAAAGCAGAATCTGATTTGAGGGAGATAATAAGTGTTTAGGGATACATACACACATAGAGCAGATTCCAATGAACGAGTCCCATCCAAAATTCCAGCCCAAGGTGTTTAATTCTGACTCCTGTGAAAACAGTAGGCACACCAGTGGAATTATTCTTTCACACGTGTAGTCATGTTTTCCTTCTTTTACCCCCAGTGTGAATGGAAGATGTGGAAGTTTTCTTTAACACATTCTTTTTAATTGAGAAAAGAGAGCTGAAAGATGTGTGACCATGTACAGAGCACTGGGAATAATTCACAGTTCCTGCAAGAAGCTGCTTGACCTGCACAGCATAAATATTCTTCACCAATTCATACACCAATTTCTGGCAAATATCAGTAAGGAATGTTTAGGTGATTTGAGCACTTCCTCAGAATCTCCTTCTCCTTTAGATTAAAGAATATTCAGCAGAAATGAAGCTGTCAGTCATACTTCATAGCACACACTGATGTTTCCAAGGACATAGTCTGTCAAAGGAGTTTGTTGGCTAACAAAGTTCAACACAGGTATTTGGAACAAGGCTTTAACCTGCAGCTTCCTCTCAAGGGGCAGATGTATGGCTGGGTTTCACCAGCAGATTTAGCTCCCAAGTGTCTGTTTCCAAACAGATGCCCTGATTCCAGTGCAACATGAAAAGCAATCTCCTTGATAAAATGTGATATACAAAATGCATTGCAATCTCTTTTCTTTGTAGAACAGTTCAAGAAGAGAAAATTTCTATATTCAATGCACTTTATTTTGTTCTTGGAAAACTCAAATATATATATATACACATACTTGATCCAAATTCTTACTTTAAAAATAACTCATAATAATGTGTCATTTGCCTCCTGCCTACACCTCTCAGTAGATCCTAGAATATCAAACTATTAAGCTAACACAGAGAGCAGGACAAATCCTCTTTATGTATGACATGGATGTTTTAAATCATTACTAGTTATGGATCTGCTTACAAGGAAATTGAGTCTAATTTTCTTCTAGCCTTGAATATTGGGGATTTCCCATGGATGAGATTCCATATCATAATAGGTTTATTAGCCACATATGTTCTCCTAATAAAACAACCCAGACAACCCACTGATAACCCTGAACTTTCAGTGGTAACACAGTATTTAGATAGGTATGACCCTTTCTTGTCATAGTAGTAAATCCTTTCAATAAAAAAATTGTACATAATAGAAGCAAAATTGGGAGAAGGTGGAGGGAGAGGAGAGATAACTGCTTGCTAAGAGCAAGTTCTGTCCCTTATCTTGCATCTCAACACAGCAGAGCTAAAAAGGTTTGTTGTATATCCTTGAAAATCAGCTGTTTGCTTCTTTTTCTCACTTGCAGCAGCTCAGTCAGTTTTACAGGGATTTACACTAGCAGGAGGAAATTGGCACTGTGTGTATTTTGGGGAAAAAAACAAACAAAATAAAATCCATGCATGGTGAAGAAACACAATGAAGTTTTCTTGACTGTGGACACAAACACACAGGAAAACGTCCCAGAGGCAACTCTCTGAAACAGCCACCAACACCCAGTGATAAAACAAAATGAAAACAACCTAGACCTCCTCCAACATGAAGAGTGTCTGAATGGAAATTCAGACATGGAAAAGGTCTGAAATGCAAATTAGCCTTTTCAGAAGAGCTGAGCAGCCTTATTCAGCAGTTTAAACAAAGTGTGTTTGACTAAAGAATAATTTATTTATCGTTAAACCTCCTTCTACATTTAATTTTATTACTTTTTATAATATGAAGAGGATAAAGTACATGTCTAAACAGAAGCCTGGTAATGTGTCACAGGCACAGCCATTGAGAAATTAGGAGGACCATCTGGATAAGCTCAAAGAGCCCTGGCTTCCTAATCAGATGTCTGTGAGCAGTGAAATCCAGTCGTGTCGTATCTCATGTGTTCTTCTGCCTTCTGGAATTGGCAAATGTTAATATTGAAACCTCAGAAATAATTCCTCAGAAAGAGAAATGTCATGCAGAGTGCTGGCATTCACTGGTGCCATGATGTCACTGCTGGAGAGATCAGAAGAATCAGAAATCTTGGTTAAAAAACATCATATTTTAGGACTCTACGGAAAGAAAATGAGGAAAATATATAGCATACCATAAGAACTGTTTTGTCTGGACTTCCAAAATATTTCTCCAGTCCTTTTTCAGTGTGCCTCATCTGAGCAGGGTACATGGGATTTATTTACAGTCCTGTGTCCATCCACACAATCTCAGTCAAATGAGGAGCCTTAGCTCTTGCACCATCACTGGTAACCCATGTTCCCTGCAGATGGAGTTGCTATGCTGATCATCTGATGATTATCTGTGTGTGAAACTGCCCAGCTACAGTGAAAAGAGCTCTCAGCTGACCCTAGTGAGTGAGAGCATGTCTGGAGAGCAGCTTGGTGCTAAAGAGTTTCCTGGCAAATGAGAATCATAGAATGTATTGGGCTGGAAGGGACCTCCAAAGGTCACCTAGTCCAACCCCCCCAATAAACAGGGACATCACCAACCAGATCAAGGTGCTGAGAGCTTCTTCCAGCTTCATCTTGAATGTCTCCAGGGATGGGGCCTCCACCACCTCTCTGGGCAACCTATTCCAGGGATCTGTCACCCTCATACTGAAGAGCTTTTTCTTAACATCTAACCTAAATCTGCCCTTTTCTAGCTCAAAGCCATTACCCTTCATCCTGTCACTCTTGTGAATAGACCCTCCCCTGCTTTCCTGTAGGCCCCTCTTGGGTATTGGAAGGTGAGTGCTGGGAAAAAGAGATCCAAAATGGGGCATTTTGCTTGAAAAGTGAAAAGCAAAGTAGGTTTCAAGCCAGTAACAGTTGCCAAGTCAATCTCAGAAATATAATTACCAAAAATCCAAGTAATACAGAGTAATGATGCCTACCAACCAAGCTATAAAGACAGAAGAGGAAGAGGGAAGCTTTGGTGATTTGGTGGGTAAAGGGATCCTTTTATTTCTTATCATTCTATGTCCTTATAAAATGTTTTGATAAAAGAATAAACTAGTGTTTTTTTTCTGAGTAGTCTGATTAGATCCAAGGCATCAAAACTGATGCTCATGAGCACAAACAAGCATGTGGGGAAGCACAGTCATGAAGTTTTATCATTTCAGTGCAAAAGCTCTGACTGGATTTATCTCCATGTTCTTCAACTGTCACATGAATAGTGGTTCTGCAGTTAATTGATTACTAAATATGCAACTGCAAATCCATGAACCTAAATCCCATTACTGAGCTGAAATAAAGAGGAAATGCAATTCTGCATTAAGGGCCAGGTTCAAGCTTTGAATATGGGAGTTGCCTTCCATTTATTGATGATGCAGTGAGTGCATATGAACAATGTGAATACCTTTTGATTGTTGACATGTATAGATAGGCTTTGATTTCAGAGGAATTCTGGGTTTTCCTATAATAAGGAAAGCAAGACACACATTTTGAGTAGTAAACAAGCCTCAGTGGGTTCAGAGCATGAACCATTCTCTGTCTCTCTTCAATTACTCCTAACTGAGCTACTGCAGTCACAGAACACATCATAGAATTACCTGCTTTGGGAGGCACTTCCCGTGTATCCCCATGTTCAAAAACACATGCACACAAACAACAGAACCTGACTCTCAGAAAACAGGATGTTAAAACAAGCATCTGAAAGAGAATAAATCATTTTAAGGTGCTGGTGTTCTGCCTTAAGTACCTGACTGCAAAAATGCTCTGATTCCCTGCAGAGTAAACCCTGACTTTAGAGGAAATCAAGCAGGCTCTTCTCATTCCCAGACCTTTAAAAGCATGGTTGGGTCCATAATAAATGCAACTTTATTCAGACTCACATAGCACAGTAGACTTGTGTCCAAAAAAAGGGCCACTCTACATTTAATCTGCATTTTAGCGTGCTCAACATACCCATACCAAACTTTTTGTGATTTAATGCCTCTCTTTTTACACAGTGATGCTACCAGTATGTGCCCACAGACAGGAGGAATTCAAGATCCTTTCAAATTTTATGGAAATATCCACTTTGATTAGTTGTCACTTCACCATTAGTTTTTACATCCCAAAATGGAAGAGCCAAATATCCTTCAAACATCTACAATTACTTTTTAATGCTGTTTCTTTACACAAACAAGCTCAGCATCAGACTTCCCCTGGATGATCTTTTGATGCTGCTTCCTTCACATATCCCTTCAACAACTTTAATTCTACAACATGGCAAGTGTTTTGAGGGCCTCAGGCTCCCCAAAAGATGTGCATTCAACAGCTTAGACTAGACTATCAACTGTTCCCCTGAGCCATCAACTTCTGCCCATCTTTTTGTGCCTGATGTTGATTTTTCTTGTGTTTACCCTACAGGGCTCTATGAAAACTATCCAACCAATGCAGAACCAGAATGCTGTGATGTCAGATGGGGACTATTATCAGATCATCAATCCAAAGGGACTATAAAAACAAGTGGCTCAACAATGTGTCACAGGACATCGCTCACAGTTTCATCAGCATCAAGACTGTGTAACAGCAGACTTAAACTATGTGTTCTTGTATTAATTCTCTTACATACAGTACTTACAGTCTCAGCAGCACAGAACTCAACAGGACTGGGCTTTGGAGGCGTAACCACTTTGGAAGATAATTCAACCAATGAGGAGTAAAAGATAGGATTCATCTTGTGTGACAGAAACACAAGAGGCCCAAATGACTACAGCCAAAACTAGCAAGGACTGAGTGCTTTACCCTCAGATCTCTCCTTGAATGACCTTTTGGGTAAAATGGAAAGAACGGGCCACTGCTCAAACAAGGACACATGAACACAGCTTTTTATTGACTAAAAGGCTGTACGGTGACTTAAATTTCTCACACCATTTTATACACTGTGTTTTAATGTTTGAAGTTTCTTTTTTTGTTTGTTTTTTGCACTTGTTAATACAGGATTTTATTTTTGGGACGGTTTCTCAAAGCTAAATTAAGTCTTTTCTCTGTCGATATATTTCTAGTCATTGTGTGTGTTCATCTGATAGTTCTGTCTTTTATGTCCAGTTTCTATTAGAGGAATGACTGCTATGATTCCATGACATAGCAAAAAAAGAAAACCACACAGAAAAAAAAAAAACAAAAAAAAAAAACTCACACAAAAAACCCACCAAAAAAAAAACCACAAAAAGAACAACAAAACAGTTTAACAAAAAAAAAAAAAAAAAAGAAAAAAGGCAACACAAAAAAAAACCCCAAACAAACCTAACTGTCCTCTTACTCATGGGAACCATTCATCTCCTTTCCCCTTCCATCTCCCTTCACAGACAACACACATTTGCTTCTGTCTGTGTAATCACAATGAATGGGAACACAATTCCAGTGTGCCACTGGGGCACAAAACCAGTTGCCTGAGCAAACCCAAAAAAACAAGGAGCATGAAGGGGGTTCCTTTTAGCTGAACAAAGAAGCGCTCTCCTTACAAGGTGGGATTGGACAGTTAAAAAAAGAAAAATATCAAGAAATCTATAACAAACTGTTGCTCCAATACCCGTTTTGAAGAAGTCCAGTCCTTTCTCACTGGTCAGTTGAACAGGAGCAGCCTTTTTTAGATCAACCAGTTATGCTCAGCAAGTTGAGTAGTTGGAAGACCTTCATATTGGAGGTGGAGGATTGGCATTCATTGTGAATTACGTTTTGAGTTCTTCTGCTGTCACATAACCAGCAGCTTTCCATACAGAATGGGAGCAAAGAGCTTCCAAAATCCAAGTCTTTTTGTCTCAACAGAACTACACTCCAAGCCTACGAGCATCTACAATCTCTTTGGGTTCGATTCCATTATTTTTCTAATCTCTACGTGGTGTTGAAAGTAACTCTAGTCATTAAGGGTGCACAAGAACGTGTTAGCACAGATAAAGAAACTATTTTTTTTTAACTCTATGAGACAACCATTTTCAGAAACGTGCAATAAAACCAGTAAAGATCTACTAGGGTGTGAGTAGTCAAGAGAAAAAGATTGTAATACGACTGCTGATTTTCCATTGTTTTGGGATGGTTTTAAATTTGTTTGCTTTTATTTTTTTTCGTGGGAACGTTTCACCTGCTGAGTGTATGAGAATTTGCTTTTTAAAAAGGCTTTTTAGAGTTTACAGTAGAATCAATGGAAGGAAAAGTTAATAAGGGCTGTTTTTAAAAACTTTACATTCCTTCCTATTCTCTAACTACACTTGGGAAGTGCACTTTAGAGATGTTTGCTGTGTAGCTGGGAGACGAAGGAAAACGATAAGAAATGTTCTCTTAGGAAATAAAATCTAGTTAACTACTTTCTAGCTATGAAATACCCCTTGATAATACTAATGTTGTAAGAACATTTAATCACTGGTGCATAATGCATTTTTTTATACACTTTACGGTCTGTTAAATTCTGGAGACAAACAAAAAAGAAGACAACCATGCTGCTTTAAGTGGTTCAAGAGGCACACATTAAGCTGCAAAAGTTCAAGGATTTTGCAAAAGCATTTGTTTTGATAGTATTTTACTACAACCTGGACTGAGGAGCCTAAAACGATCTGCAGACATGACAACCACCAAAAGCACCAGCTAATGCAAAATTCTTCAGCACTGGTTTGTTTCTTTAATTCCTCCCTCCCCTTCCTTGCACATGTTCTATTTTGTTCAATAAAACACGGTGCTTTTTTAGTTCTTTTATTTTTTTTCTTTTAGGAGCATTCATGATCTTGAACCGGTGGAAAAAGAGGGGGGGGGAAATGTAGAAATGCAAACGAAAAAGCCTTAATTAATAGTAGAATGTAGACTTTGGAAAGGGCAGAGAAAAGTGGTGGAGCAATAACTGGGCAGTGCTCTGGTACTGTGCAACAGCTGGGGAGTCACGCTACCGAGGAAGCTCCTACTAGGTGAGCTCTTGTTCAACTGACCTCTTAATTCTACTAAGTGTCCGTGGTCAGTAAACAGTTTGTTATAACCTTTATCTACCTCTGCTGTGCAAAGGCCATCCAACATCCATTTTTGTGATGTTCCTCACCTTTTTTTGGTCACGCCATTGGTTGTCATCTCCTTTCACACTGTACCAACGCCGTAGCAGGTCTGGTTCATCCCCATGGAATTGGCACACGAAGAAGAGTCATGGTTTCTGTTTCACCTCATGGTGATTGATGTAGAGAGCTATCTTTGAGGCATTTTCTCTCCTCTTTCCTGCTCTTCTTCATCCTTCATCCCTCATTTTTCTGTGAAAAATGATGTCAGTGAAAAGCACGACTCCTCCACGGCTTGGCTGCACTTCAGTCCCGTGCCATACGACGTGAAGGAGACAGGAGGGGAATCAGTGACAACATCATCACGTGCAGAAAGTAGCTAAATTAAACACTTGGGCAGAATGAAGCAGAAAACAGACTTTCAATTATTACACCAGTGCAAGATGTAACCAACCCTCCCCCTTCTCCCCACCCGGAGTTAGCACCTGCAGTTCAATTGTCTGTGAACTTTGTCATCTTTTTTTTTTTGAGGTCTGTTTCTTTTAATTTTTGAAACAAAGAGTCACGTTGCAGAGGTGTGCAGCTTCTCTTGGTGGCACCTGGGACATCAGGAGTGTAGAGAAAGACTCTTCTGTGAAGTTAAGCAACACGTAATCATGTATGATGCAGAATTCCATTCCATCCATTCCTCATCCGTAATAGTTTTCCTGGCACAGACTTAAGCATGCTTGGTATTGTTCACATATTACTTTTTTGCCAGAATAAATTTGCATCTTGCCACTGCTATAACTGCCATCTTGTTCCATTTCTCCTTGTACTGTATGCCTAATACATACATGATAAAGAACTGGCTTCACAAAGAATTCATAATTCTGCTAAACCACCGAGGAGAAGAAAAAGAAAAAAAAAAAATAGAGAATAATATTTATTTTCTGACCATAAGAAAGGAGAAATTTCCCATGTCTTTTATCCTCTTCTTTTCTGCAACAGGGAAAATCCAGATTTTGTGCAATATGTCAATACTGCTGAGTCAAATGTCATTTAACACAACCAGAGCTATATGTTATTCCTTACTGCATTTGCATTTGGTAATACATTCTACTGACACTTTTCTTTCATTAAAGAGACAGTATTATTTTATTTATTTTTGTTTTGAACTATGGCAGGTGAAGGCTGTCCTTCTGCACGCCACCCTGGAAAGACAAAACCCAACAAACTGCTAGAAGGAAATTCTAGTTCTCTAAGTGATGAAACCAAGCCATCCGCTGCCAAAGAACCTGTGGAACCATAGGCACACACCAAACACAGACTTTCAAGAAATTCCTTCTTGAGGGTTCAAAATAATGTTATTCTGAGTGTTTGGAAAGGATGAGAGCTACATTTCAAACAGCAGAGATGGCAAGTTTCATCTGGAATGCAATGTGGCTCTCAGCTTATACAGATACACTCTCCTATCAAAAAGTGAGGGGTGAGGACATTGTCTCCTGCTCTCCCTGTGTTTGTTCTGATGAGGAATGTCCTTTTTGTAAGCCTTGCCTCTTTGCACAGAAGATACCTGCTTACCATGAGAGCTGAAGACAACTTCTGCACGTGCACACAAATCCACCCAGTGAAACCTGGCTTGAGGGACTATCCAAAGCACAAGCAAAACTCTTTTTGTGGACTAGAGTTAGCTTTAAGGAAAGTGAAAATAAAATATTGTCTTAGGATGTTTCAAGAGCTGTGTAAAGAGCCACCTAAGCGAGGGATCTCTGTTGGTGCCTGGTCCTCACAGCAGCTTTCACTGATGCCAGTGAGCCTTGGGACAGGTACAGGCACTCACCTGTAGCACACAGGTCTCCTTTGGTTGCCCCATAGTCTTTACTCAGGGATTGCTCATGGGCATAGTGCACCAACAGAGGATCACTGGGTTCAGTTTGGACCCGAATCTTAACAAGAGACTGGCATGTTCATGGGGAATGATTCTGGTTTGTTCTTCTTGTCTCCTGTTGTGTTAGTTTGGTGAAGAAGTGGTGTCAGCATTTAGCTCAGAACACAGGGGATGAACAGCCAAAAAATTCATTGTGGAAATGAAATTAAATAGACTTCCCGAGGTAAAAAGAGGCTCTCTCATCTCTCAGGAGCTGTCAGGAAACAACAGTATTTTAGAAAAGCCTGGGAAAATAATATGATCACTCCTGAATATGCTAGTTCTCATTAAAACTAGATTTTTGGCTGGGAAATAAGACTGCAGTGAAGAGCAGTTCAATTGAAGGCTTTAATTTGCTCTTCTGCGGCAACTCTGAGCAATCACATTTACTGAACACCTCTAAGTTTTCCAGTATTTTCTAGTGCTTTTTCAAAGGTTAACAAGCTTGATCTGTCCCTGGAGGGGGAATAAGGGAGAGAGACCTACAGTGAGTGATGAAACTGAAAAAAAAATTAAAAAATATTTGGGCCAACTTGGAAAATCCACCTGAGAAAGAAGCTGCTCAAAAAAGAAACAAAATGTAACAGAGATGGAGGAAAAAAAGATGTGTATGTAGGTGTAGATCTATATAGAAATAGTTCTGTTTGGAAAAAGAGAGGCACAAATATATGCTCCCCACAAGAATTCCAGATAGAGTATTGTCTAGAGTAAAAATGCCAAAGGATAAGACCTATGAAATAACTAGAACAAAATTGCCACGTTTATATTTCTTACCCTGGAGTGTGAATTTCTAGGTAGAATCTCAGCAGCAGAAATTAACTTTGTA